ACAGAACTCAATCTTCAATCATGCTGCCTCTGGAGAAGAGCTGTGTCTCCATTTTCCATTCTTGCCTGCTTGTGTGCCCTGGAAACCTGGTCAGACACAGATCTTGCAAACCCTAATTGGTTTTAGGCTCAGGCACTGACAATGAGGGACTCAGCTATATCACCAACCTGTGACACGTATTTGTAACACCCAGACTGCTGGCTGTGTGAGACAACAGCTGCCCTGGCCTGAGGAGTGTCCATGCCCTCCTACCTCAGTCACGTTGAAAGGCTCTTCCCGAGTGTGTTCTTCTTTAAATGCAATTTTCCATATCCCTTTGAAGTAAATGACATTCACAAAGACCAGCGCAGTATTGAGATCAACAGAGTCTGAGGCAAGAAGGTCTTGGATCCGTCCTTGAAGAAAGAGACAGGGCAAAGAGGGGTCAGACACAGCTCCTCTGGTGTGCACAAATCTCTGGTGTTGGGGTGGGGGTTCCTGCTTTGTGGAGTTTAATTTTCATAGCAATGAGCAACCCACTCTTGCCTGACCCACCTTTTCTAGAGATTATGAGGGAAGACCAGGATATAGTTTATGGTAGGTGAGGGAAAATACCTGCTACCCATTTTTCAGTCCTTACCATTTGTCTCTTTCTCCACCCAGGAATTGATGAGCTGTCTTGCTTCCTCTGCAGCTGTTTTGAAGTCAACTTCTTCCAGCTCTGCTCTGTAGAATTTCTTTACACACTTTATGTATTCCTATAAGCAGAAGGGTTACAGTTGTCAGACTGATGAGAACTTGGAATTATATGGATGTGTAAAGCAAGATTGTGAAATAAAGCACAATGGTTTAAGGAACAGTGAATGTTTACTCCTGGGTTTGAACGTATCAGACCCTGAACATGACAGACACATCTGTCTTCCTGTAACTGAATCTTAAAGCTGTACAAGAAAGATTGCTTCAGACCTATATATAGGTCTGGCACTTTTTGATGAGACAGGGTTCTAAGTTAAAATTTTGATGTGTTTCCTCTGTTTTAACAAAACAGTTTCAGTTTAACAAACATTTCTAAGACAATATTTGTCTCCTTCTCTTTGTGTTCACTCTTTATTTTGAATATTGTGTTCTCGCATTCTTAGATTTCAAAAGCAAAGCTTCCTTTCACTAGGAAAACTGAAATTTTCAGCTTTCATTATTTCAAGTAATAAAGTTTATTTAATTTCCCTTAAAAGTTACATTTTTCATTAAAAACCATTTTTCTAGTAAATTAACAGCAATCTTGGTTACTCCCTGTGCATATTTTATGCCATTATACTTTTTACCTTCATCTAACAGGCACAGAAAGGTCCAAACTCATTCTGTACCCGTTCCCCTTATGGCTCACAAGCACCTCTTTATCAACAGAGAGTGGGCTACTGTTGGTGGTTCATCTCTAGGGCAGAGTCACAGGGGACTTACAGGAAATCTCATGGAAGTCAGTTCACAATATAACTCACCTCAAGAATAGGGTATGTTTTTTCAATATAGAGTCTGTCAGCAATCCTGAGTGAGTAAGTAGCATTTTGCCTGCGGATGTCCGAGAGAAGATCCTTGAATGATTTGTGGATGTACTCAGCAGTGCCACACTGAGGTGATGACATGCAAAAAGAAGACAGATTGCATAAGGAAATAAGATCTAAAGTATTGTCCCTTTCAGTTAAGAGTGGTGCCACGGGGCAGTCTTCCCCCACAGGCTGTCACCTTTGGGACAGCTGGTGCTGTGGTGGGAGTACATTGAAGTGGCAAGTTCATCCTTGTCAAGACAAGTCCCCTGAAATGTGCTTTTTAAAAGATGCAGTTGGGCTCCTGTCACTGAGACTTCTGGGCTCTTCTCTGCTCAGCACCTTCCTGCCCAGCTGCAAATCAAGCTGCTGTACCCTGGCTCTAGGTACTGAGCCCTGTTCACTCATCCCCGAACAGTGCTTGCCTGGGAACACACCCTGGTGCCCAAAGCATTCTCCCCACACCATTGTTACTTGTTCTGGCGCAAGATAAGCAACCTGCTGTCTTTCTGTGTTTGCTAAAAAACAGGTGAATCACACCCTCCTTCCCTCCTTCCACAGATCGCTTTGGTTTGAGACCATTACCATAGTTTTTGTCAGGGTCTGAAACTGCCAGGAGGGAAGGCAGTAAAGTTCTACTTTTGTCCTGAGGAGAAAATAAGACAGAAAGGAAAATGAAGTTATTTCTCTACCTGGGAATCAGAAATGTCTCCATCTCCTGTAACATTATCAAAGTGAAGAACCTGCAAGAGAAAATACCAGTGGGTAGAAATTAGAAGCATGACCAAAAATAATGTGAATTCAAGATTTACATATTACTTGTGTAGAAACTCTGTTGTTTCAGAAAAAAGAGATGCTGAGGAAATAGACTAACTAAAAATTTACAGGTGAGCGTACAACTGATCTATGCCCTCTGTGACCTTCTTGGAAACTGTAAATAATGCTCTTTGCTTAGATTATATTTTTTTCCAGTGAATGTCTAGAAATTAATTGAGTTCATATTATGTATTGCTAAAATACTCTGTCTTCCTGTGTTTCTGGGATTTATCTTTTATATATATTAGAAAAGAAAATCTGATTACATTATTTGGAACTTGTCAGAATCTAAAAATCATAAAGTTGCCTGACTGGTAATCTCTTTTGCTATTGTCCCTCAGATTTTTTTTATGTTTAAGTAGACTCCCTGTTATGTTGAAAATATACACCTTTATTATTAATATTTTCTATATATAACTCTTGATTCAGTTCTCCATTGTGTGACTTTGACTTAGTTCTTGTGTATTGAAGCAGGTGAGAACCTCGTCAGTGGATAATAGTGTTCAGTGATGTTACTTAGAAAGAGCAAGTAGCACAAGTGGAGGTCACTTTACACCTGTGTAAGTAACTTACCTTCCCCATCTGGGACTGAGTCTTACCCCTTGCTCCCATATACACCAGGGCCAGGGTTGAAAGCATGCTCAGGGAGGAAAAGAGCACGTTGTCATTGCTGCGGTAGATTTTCACCTCTTTGAACACATCAAAACAAAATTCTGCATTTGCTGCACTGATGGAGCCCATTGTGAAATCCCTGTTGTCTGAAGGAAACAGAAAGAGGCTGACATAGTGTGGTGAAATAGGTAAATTGTTATGCAAAAAATTCAGTGCACATGAACTCCTAACTTAGTGCACAGGGCTTTTTCAGCAAATAGAATCCAGTGATGTGGATTTAAAAGGCAAACACGCTTTTGGACTCGTGAGCAATCAAAGTGCTGGACGTCTGCAAGCTCTGCATAGGCTGGTGGAAGAAGAAAACACAGACTAGAAAATACAGTACTTTGAAGTCTAATGCAACAGTATATAGTGTTTATGTCACTTAAAACTTAAGGTCTCAAGGCTCTTCAAGCAATTTCCCTGTGCAGCTGCTAGAGAACAAAATCCAGGGTACTCTGCCATATCTCTTGCAGTCCCTATGGAATCAACATCTTCATGGGATATTCATCACTTAATGTGAGATAATTTGAACAACAATGCATCTAACTGTTCCCCTGATGGAATGGATGCTCATTCTCTCTCTAAATTGAACTGATTGTAGAGGTGATATAATGTAGAATTTTTTATTATATACCTATTTTGCTTACTGTTCTATTTTAGGCTTTAAACTCCATTTATGTTCTCCGTGAAAAAACAGATTCATGAAGCAACTGCTTGAGGGGATTTTTGTTGTCATTTATCTTTGACAATGTAACTATTAAAGGTAACACAGAGCTGTAGAATGATGGGATCATTTGAACATTCTGGACTCCTTGATTTCATTCAGAGAATATTTTACATAATCTCTGGAATTTAAGCAAATTCAATTTTGTCTTTTAATACTAAATGAAAAGTTGAAGCAATAGAGGAAGAAGGAAGAAAGTCTGTTGGAACTTATCACCAGATTTTCAATGTGGAAGAGTTAGTAAACAAAGCTATAGTTCATAAATACAAATACTTTGACTCTATGCATGGCAGACTGTAAAAGAGCAAAATAATACAGAAGATATATGTGCAGGTAGGTAAGGTTTCTACAGAAGGCATCCTGTGATAATTAGATTCTTCAGCTGATATTGAAGGCCACAAACATCAGGTTACATCAATATGATTATAAGTATTTTTAAATTGTTTTTTATCTTGCAGATTAGAACTTAAATCAAAATGGAAAGAAATGCTTACCTTATCAGATTCACCAGGGAAAGGTATAGCACAGCTTCTCAGCTGTACTTGGGGCAGACTTGACAAACCCCTTGGAATATATCTTGTGTTATTTTGTGACACGCCCCGTGCTGCCTGTTCTTTGTTTACTCAATAAAGTGATGGATAGAGCTCCATGTCAGATATGCACTTTTACTTTGAATAAGTCCATTCTTTGGGGGAAAAAAAGAAAAAAAAAAAGGAAAAAAAAAAAGCCTGAATGAAAGGATTTTAACTTAATATTTCCAAAAAGGAAGATTTATTCATCATAGCACATGAAACCTTGCAGAGGATACAAGACAACATTAAAATGACTGGAGGAAAAATAATGATAAAATATATTCATTGGAACTTAAATAGTAAATATGATTTGGTTATGGCAGTAAATTGTGTAACATAACTTGTGAAAATAAAACAGAAAAGAATGGTGAGGAACTCAGTCTTGCAGAATGTCTGTAAAGAATTTTGTCTTATTTTCCTTAATATTCCTCTATCTTGAATAGTGATGGGCCAGATCCATCTCGGAGTCACAATTCTGTGAACTCACAAATATTGGTAAGATCAGCATATGCAGGGATGTGTTTATTGCAACTTTTCTCCCATTGTTGGTTGGACTACCAGTATCACCAGTCTTTCTTCCCACCAGAATCCATAGCTCTTCCTAAGGAATGGAGAAAATTTCCCACCAAGAAAGAGCATATCCTTTCACTGTTTATTGCCAAATTTAATAAAATTGAAGTAGATTTTTCTGCAAGAAGTTGTATGTATTTACCTGATGTCCCTTGCTGCATTGTAAAAGACCACCAACATAGTATGTCACAGAGCACACTTCTTCATTCCAGAGCAATCTAGCTCAAGACACTCAGACATATTCACAGTCTGTGCAGCACACTGGAACAAAACCCTCAGTGAAAGTATTTTGGGAATATAAATTAATTTCAAAAGCAATTTCAGCACATCTCGACAGGGAAGAATTATAGAAAAACGTGTTGGGGAAAGAGAAGTTGAGAAAATAAGACAAGATTTCTGTAACTTTTTAAATTCAGGCATCAGGATATTTAGATCCAAGTCAGATGTTACCAGAAAAGGATTTGAAGTCGCCGCTATAATTTTGAAGGGTAGTTTAAGGTGTGCTGTTCTTTTCCACAGGTCACAGCACCAGATGCTGGGTTCAAAATGTGCCTTTTGTACATACAGAGACCATTCTTATAAGACCATTCTTACATTCTTCCACAAGCAACTTCATGGCACATCAGCTGAACAAACCAGCTGAAGAAACATTTATGGTCTGCAAGACAGTCATAATATACAATAGCAAGCAGAATCCAGTTGCTTAATTCCTTTGAAATAAAAGAATGGACAGACAATAAAAGAAACTGCTTTGACCTTTTAAATGCTACATAATTTTAAAACAGAAATCCAAGGTCAATACACAAAATGGCTCTGAAATTGTCTAGAACAAATTATGCTTCAGGAGAGTAGAGGTGGACTTTTTAACCCTTTTATTAGTTGTCAGTGCAAGAGGAAAGCCTCCGAATCATCCCTACCTTTCTCTCTAGTACAGTTCTTCATAGCTCCATTCAGCTGAAGTTGCTTACGAAATAGGAGCCATGAAAAACTCAGTCTGGACTGATGCATTTACATCACACTGGTACTTTATATGATACAGTGTGTGGTCCAGGCCAGTCTACTACAACTCTTGTTATGCAGGAACAGAGCTTTTGTGGAAAGATCTATAGACCTTGACCTGCCGAGGTGGCTCATCACTGCAGATCTACTGCAAAGAGAATGAGATATTCTCTCACAGGAGCAGTGTGTAAACTGGTCACCACTGTTGTGAGCCCCATTTAGCTCAAAAGGGTCCCACCTTGCTGGACGACAACAAGTCCTCCATGAGTGCATGTGCCTGTGTAGGATGAACCTTTAACCATGCAGCTGGGAGTGGTCCCCACACTGCAAGCAGTTCCTGCAGCTGCTGCTCCTTCTGCCTTTCCATCTTAATACTGCCTTGTTTCTGTTCAAACTGCCTTCTACACTTGTGGCCATGGTCCATTGCAATACACTTGACAGCTCAGGAGGCAAAGGATTAGCCAGTATGTTTGTCCCTGTCACTTCTAATGTTTGAATATGCCTTGAGTCTTTTTCCTTGACAATCAAATTGTCTAGTGGTTTGCTTCAACTCACTGTATGTGATCCACCTTGGCACTTGTGCACCATCTACCTGAATCACATTTGTATCATCTTAGAGAGCCTGCAGCTTGGTAGCTACAAAGATGTCCCATGAGTTGGCACAGATGTTTTGTAACAGCCAACTCACAGCACTAATGCTGTTAAGAAAATATTTCTGAGTTGAATATATTCATTAATGAAAAACATTTTTTGGTTTACAGTAGAGAGGAGGCAGTCCACTGCTTGAGAAGCATGTTAATACACAACTCATGTTGCTGATTTTGTTAGCATTTCTTTTTTTTATTGGTCAAATGAATGATTAATGTAAAGCAAGTTGCAGAGGCAACTAAATCGTTCCACAAGTAAGTAAAAATCTTGATTATGATCAGCTATCAGCACAGAATTGTGAGAATATGAGTAGTAGTGCCTAGTTAACTGGGCAACTTTAGATCTGTCATAGAGTCCAGTGAGGTTAAACAAACCTTCCTGCAGTTGAAACACTTCCTTGGAGAAAAGATAATGTATTGCCCTGTCCAGCACAGCTGTGTAATGCAGCACAAACACAAAAAGATGTGTTTATCCACATATCCTTGTTTGACAATGCTTGTCCCAAGAAGGAGGTCAGCTAAGGCTCAGTTGCCCTTTCCTCTGCCGGGCATTTCATTGTGGTGTTGTCCCTAAACCAACAGGCTCTTGGACATTTGGACCTTTACAAAAGGATATGAAGTCCAGGTCAGCTCACAGACCAAAGCCTCTCATCCAATTACAACATCCCATGCAGAGCTCAACATTTAGTTCGTATGCATGCTGCTGCTCTTTTGTCAGTGGGCAAGAGCATTTTGATTGTTTTATGTTTATCTTGCTCAGAGTCAGTGCCAGTGATTGTTCAGGTAGGTGCCACTGCAGACCTTGGTGCTGTAGCTAATCAATGATGGTTTCTCTCACAGTTGTCCTGTAGGACCGTGTTCTTCCCTCAGTCTGAAGAAACTTTAGGTGTCTGGTCAAGCTGCTTCAGACAGGAGCTCTTAGCCCACCTGGTATCTTTCACTGGCAGCCCTGTGCCATCCTGAAGTGTTGGGCACCTTTGCTAGCAGTGCTGCCTTGGACACTCACAGGCTGTGACAGGGCTGTGCATACCTCAGTGTTGGCAGAGTGAATTTCTCCAGTGAATGCATCTTCAGAAGAATCCCGTGATGGATTTGGTCACAAGTTGTTCACTCTCTGCTTAGCAGTGCACACAACATCCAGGGTCTACAGCTGTACAGTTTCCAGACCAGCACACACAGCTGTCCCTTTATCAGTCACCACAGCACACGTGAAGTCCCTTATTCATCCCTCAAGTCCATGGAATCAGCCAGCAGCCAGGGTGACTCTGTGTCTGGCCTTACTCCCTGGCTCCTAAGGAGGCAGCAGGGTAACAAGGGCCTTACACCCAGCATACACACAGGGCAGGAATGATGGCCGCTGGCACTGGCAGCAATTGGCTTAGTTACCAGCATCCCATCCCACAGAGAAGCCTGTTTGTGGCAGCATGTGACTAACACTGCCCATGTCACCATGCCTGTTATGTTACCTCCCTTCACTCACTGAAAATCTGCCCAGCATGTCCTTTATCTCAGCACATACTCCCAGGAAAAATAGCATTTTTTCTTTTGCACAGAATAGGATAAACCAATCTCTTGGATTGTTTCAACACAGACATCCTCCCACAAAGCCATCCTCTCCTCTCCTCTCCTCTGAATAGCAGCCTACTAAGATTCTTGACAATATTCCTGACATGTCTCCTGCAGGAAAAGAAAGCTGCAGAAAAGGAGAAATGTCACCACACAAGGGTCCATACTCTCATGTTGGCTTTGCAAAAAAGAACTGGGAGGCCTAGCAGACACCAAGTTGACCATGAGTCAGAAATGTGTCCTTGTGGCAAAGAAAATCAACAGCACAAGGGGATGCCTTAGAAAAAGCACTGCCAGCAGGTAAAGGGAGCCTTTCCTGCCCCTCTACTAAGCAGTGGTGGGACCACAGATGGAATGCTCTGTCTGGCTCTGGGCTTTCCATTGCAAAAGAGATGGGGATGTGCTGGAGCAGAACCAGAGAAGATGATTAAGTGATTAAAGGATCTTTAATGAGAGGAGAGGCTCAGAGACACAGCACTTGTTACCCTGGAGAGGAGAAAGTGCAGGGGGATCTTATCCATGTGCGTAGCCTTCTTGATGGGAGGGTAAAAAGAAGATGAAGCTACACTTTCTTCTGTGAACAGACAAGAGAAAAGGGACACAACCTGAAAAAGCAGAAATTACATTTAGACATAAGAAAATACATTTTCTTTTGGATAGGGAGATAAATTCAGGTTGCCCAAAGATGCTGTGGAGTCTCCATCCTTAGAAATATTCAAAACCCAAGGAACCTACTGTAGTTCACCCAGATTGAAAGGGGGAGCTTGGAATAGAAAATCAGCAGAGTTCACTTCCAGTCTCAGCTTGCATATTATATCTAGAGGAAGATCCCAAGGGAGATGGAGATAGCAAGTTATTGGACATTAATGTGCAAAGAAAGTACAGTGGTGTGGATGAGGCACTTGAATGGGAGTGTATGAAACGTTTCACAGACAAGTATTGTTTCCATGCTGTACAGAGAGAAATGTCGCCTCATAGTGGCAGTCTTGGGTGTCTCTTTGTGCCTTCTGGAGGGGTGCAACTTGTGCTACTAGATGCAGAAGGTTTCAGATTTTGTCTTGTTACCTGCTAAGCCTTATTTCTGGTACTGCACAGCAGTCTGTAAGAGAAAAAGGGTCTCGGTTCTTCAGAAAACCCTTTGGAAGGCTGTGACAAAAATGGCAGTGGCAACAAGGATGTTTACAAGGTTTATTTACTTTTGCCTTTCTTCATGAAAAACTTTTGGAGCATTTTAATATTATTAAAAGCAAATACTAAAGCAAGTTAAAGGTTTAGTACAGTATTTCTGAATTTGCAGTTTTTACTGTCTCCTGCCTTTTCTTTTTGGAAAGGGGAAGCTTTGTATTTGCCTCTAAGTCTCATGACCCCTTTGTTTTTTTCCCATTCCTTCATTTTGACCATTATTGTTGTTCGGGAAACAACATTGGTCACTGAGGCATATCTGTGTACTTTAAGCACTTTCCAGTTTAATAACCGTAGGAAGGAAAGTTTTCAAATATAACCCTTTTGAAGTCTTCTTATTGTTTAAGTGTGCAGGCTTTTAAATTTAACAGACTGGATCAACTGCTTCTGGCTACAAGAGATGCAGAAAGTGATTAAACAGCTTACAGCAAGCCTTGAGATGTTGAAATTTTGCATCTCTTGGAACAGTTTAGACCACTGGTTTAATTTCTAAAGAAAAATAATTTAAATGTACTTGGTGAAATAGTTGCCTTTAGCACTGAAAAACAACTGAGTCTATATCACAAACATCCTGATGATATTCAAATAATGTGGATGTCAAACAGGTAGCACCACCTTCTTTCCTTTCCTGCTTTTATCATGTCAGACTATGTTAATATGGAAATAGAATCATAGAATCATAGGATGTACTGAGTTGGAAGGGACCCACAAGGATCATGAAGTCCAGCCTCTGGCCCTGCATACGACAGCCCCAAGAATCACAGCAGGTACCCAAAATCATTGTCCAAACGCTCCTTGACCTCTGTCAGGCTAGTGCTGTGACCATTTCCCTGGGGAGCCTGTTCCAAGTGCCCAAACACCCTCTGGGTGAAGAACCTTTTCCTCGTACTTATCCTAAGCCTACACTGACACAAATTCCTGATATTCCCTCAGGGACTTTCACGAGTCACCAGAGAGGAGCTCCTGGTCCTCTGCTTCCCCACCTGAGGAAGCTGTAGCTGCAATGAGGTCTCCCCTCAATCTCTTCTTCTCCAGGCTGAACAAACCAAGATCTCAGCTGTTCCTTCTATTGCTTCCCCTTAAGGTTTTTTACCATCCTCATGGCCCTCCTTTGGATACTCCCCAATAATTCAATGTCTTTTTTGTACTGTGGCTCCCAAAGCTGCCCCCAGCACTGGAGGCGAGGCTGCCCCAGCTCAGAGCAGAGCAGGACAATCCCCTCCCTTGCCCGTCTGTGATGCTGTGCCTGATGCCTCCAGGACAGGGTTGGCCCTCCTGGCTGCCAGGGCACAATGACTCGTGTTCAACTTGCCATGGACCAGGACCCCCAGGTCCCTTTTTGTGGGGCTGCTCTCCAGCAACTTATTGCCCAGTCTGTCTGTACATCAGGGTTTCCCTGTCCCTTATTATTGGAAGAGCTGATATTAACAACAGAGTACCTCCTCTCAAAACTCTCAGTGTGGAAATGCTTTGCCTAAGAGTACTCCATCTGCTTATTCTTTCTTATGCCCTTTGAGTTACATGATTTTTCAGATGATCTCATCATCTCAAATGGCAGAGTTGCTGGAAACTCTGTTTCTTTGAAATTTGTTTTTCTTTGAAATATTTATCCGACTAATAGTGCATCGTTAATACCCATGGGAATTGTATTGAAGTTAAGTTAATATTTCACTGGACTATTTCTTGGTAATCACTACTACAGAGAGGAATCAAACTATAGATGTGTGCGTTCATTTATTTCAGAAATGGGTAGGAAACTTCAAATCTACATACTTTATTCATTCTAAAAACTGGAGGATTTTGTACTAAATTCCATTTTGCTCACAACAGTTACCAATGTAATAATATTGTAAGGGTTAGTTATCCAGAAAATTAATAAAATTCACATAATTTCATGACAAGGATTTGTGACTTTCTTTTATTGTGTTAATAAAGAAAAAAACTATTACGTGCATCAAAATCAGTAATATATGATTAGAATAAAAACAGGTCATAATATTGTGCCAATCCGTATTTGGAGATGCTAGTGGACACATAAGAAAACAAAAAGAGAAAATTGGGATTCTTGTGTATTTCATGAAAACAAGAGATGTAGTCTTGAACTACCATAGGAACAAAGAAACCCAGCTACATTCATGGAATAATAATGTTCTTGAGTTTTGAACAACTGAGAGTTTTCCAGGAACAAACTGAAGTTTACTTGCTAAACAAAATCAAAAGAGACAGGAATTATTTTAAAAGCTGTGTTTTTTCACAAAGCTCCCATGGAGAAATCAGGTTCTTTAACATCACCTACAGGATTTTTCACAAAAATCAAAATGTTCTCAAATTTGAAGTGACTTCCAATGTTTTAAACAAGAATTCAGACAACTCTTTTGCTTGGCAGTTCTGAGTCCTGGATCATCCAGATATCTATGTTTCAGGCTTTGAATCTATACTCTGTGACAAGACATAACTGCACCTAGACAAAGTTAGATCTCCTTGAATATTTGGAAGCAGAAGGAAAACTCTGCATGACTCTGGAGAACCTCTGAAAGAAATTCGGTATTACATGAGGTACTCATGATGAAAGGACAGCTTTGGTCATAGTGGATATGTAAACGAAGTAAAAAAAAAATAAAATTTACATAGGCACCAATTAATACCCTGCATAGCAGAATCTTGTCCACAAACATCTTCTCCAGACTGGGGGTCTCAAACCCAGTGTTTTGGGAACTGCATGGGTTTGTTATCAGGATAGTACTAGAGAATGGGATGAGCATAGCCCATGGCTTTCCATGTAAAGGAATACCAAAGACTTGGAGCCCTGTGTGCAACTACTTCTTTAAGTGAAAATCATTTGACTCCTTTCTGGCCTGTGAGGGCCTCTGTTCTCTGTGGGCTTAGTCTTTGCTTGGTTCAATCAACACTGAAACCAGTCTGAGAAGGGAAAGGAGTAAACACACTTGCTGCTGTTTCCTCACCTGCAGGTGTCTTTGCTCTGGAAGCTTCAGGAAAGGGAATGACTTAGAGTAGCCTTTCCACTAGCAGAAAATGTTGAAGAGATGAGATTATACTACAATACTAGAGTAAAGGGGGTCTGTTTCTTAGGGGTAGGCAAGCATTATTTCCAGCCCTTTACTCTTTAGGGAGAACAATATCTACCAAAGAAGAGGATCAGGTTGCTTGGATTGTGTTTAATCAAGAAAAGGAATGGGTGGTCAGCCCTGAACTCTTCAAACTCAGAAGAATGTTCAATGTCTTCTGTGTCATCTGCTGACCCAGCCTCCTCAGTGCCCTCTTCAGTGACTTCCATGTATGCCTCGTGGATGGCCTCAGATATCCTCAGTCTCTCTGCTGAAGAGATGCCAGAGAGATTGGCC